AAAGAAAGAAAGAAAGAAAGAAAGAAAGAAAGAAAGAAAGAAAGAAAGAAAGAAAGATCATATCCTATGAAAGAGACATCTTGAAAATGCATAAAGAAAATTGTCATTTTTTTTTCATTGAAGAGACTGGAGTCCGTGTTGAGGAAAACACCTTGGTGGCTGCAGCAGCCAGCAGTGGCAGCAGCAGCAGGGTGATGGGGGCCTAAGCCAACAGTAGGACATCTCCTGAGGGTACAGGTGGGGCTGCGGCGCCCCCCCCCACACACACACACGAATTTTGTGCACAGGGCCTCTAGTTAATATATATCAGCTCAAATTAAGATGCAGACCCATAAACTTTCCTAAAAGTTTTTATTTCCTAAATAGATAGCTCTTCAACTATCTATGAAGAAAATAACTAGTGATGGAAAGAGATTAAACAAAGAACTTATATACATATATGCCCGTGGACCTGTGGATACTCAGTGTTTGAACCTTCTGGTGATAGTTAGAATGGGGAGACAACGAAACAATCCCAGAGGAATGAAAAAGAGGAATCACCACAAAAAGAAATAAGTGAAACTGAGGCATGAAACATGACTGAAAAAGAATTCAGAGTAATGGTCTAATGGTCGTACAGTTCATACACCGGATGGACGAAAAAATCAACAAACTATGCAAAAATGAGGAAGAAATCAAAAGTGAAATAGCTACAATTAAAAACACCATGGGAGGTTTCAACAGTAGACTAGAAGAAGCAGAGGACTGAATTAGTGAGTTTGAAGAAAAGGTAAGGAAACAAGCCCAGTCTGAATAGCAACTGGAGAACAAAATTAAAAAGGAGAAGAGCCTAAGGGAGCTTTGGGAAAACACAAAACGAAGTAACATAGTTTAATAGGGCTGCCAGAGGACAAGAAGAGCAGCAAGGATTACAAAATCTATTTGAAGAAATAATGACAGAAAACTTCCCGGATATGGGGAAGAAAAAAGTTACACAAGTCCACACAGTCATTTTTCCTCAAGCAAGAGGAAACCCAAAAGACCCATACCAAGACACATCACAATTACAATGACAAATGTTAATGACAAAAAGAGACTCTTAAAGGCTGCAAGAGAGAGACAGAGTTACTTACAAAGGATCCCCCATCAGATTATCAAATGATTTCTCAACAGAAACACATCAAGCTAGAAGGGAATGGAAAGAAGTATACAAAGTGATGCAAAACAAAGGACTAGGTCCAAGAATACTCTATCCAGCAACACTATCAATCAAAATTGAAGGAGAAATCAGGACCTTCTCAGACAAAAAAAGGCTAAGGCAGTTTACACTATCAAGCCAGCAATGCAAGAAATGCTAAAGCGGATGCTTGTAAAAAGAAATAGAAAGGGAGGAAGGAATACAGGCATAAAGTACAGAAATGGCTACAAACAAGTATCTATCAATAACAACATTAAATGTAAATGGATTAAATGCTCCAATCAAAAGACATCAAGTGAATGAATAGATACAAAAAATGACCCATATATCTGCTGTCCACAGGAGACCCACCTCAGAACAAGAGATTCACACAGATTGAAAGTGAAGGGATGGAAAAATATCTTCCAGGCAAATGGAAATGGAAAAAAATTAAAAAGCTGGGGAAGCAATACTTATCTGACAAAATAGACCTCACAGTGAAGACCATAACAAAAGACAAGAAAGGACACTTCATAATTCAAAGGCATCAATATAACAAGAGGCTATAACTCTGGTAAACATTTATGCACCCAATGCAAGAGCACCCAAATACATTTAAAAACTGCTGAAAGATATCAGGGGTGAGATTGACAGCAATGCAATCATAGTAGGAGACTTTAATGCCCCATTAACATCACTGGATAAATCCTCTAAACAGAAAATTAGCAAAGAAACATCAATACTAAATGATGCACTAGAGCAGATGGACTTAATCAACATCTTTAGAACATTCCACCCCAAAACTACAGAATATACATTTTCTCAAGTGCACATGGGTCATTTCCAAAGATAGACCACATATTGGGACACAGGCAAAGTCTCTCCAGATCCAAGAGGATTGAAATCATACCAAGCATCTTCTCAGATTACAATTGCATAAAATTAGAAATCAACTACAGTAAAAACAATCACAAAAATTCAAACACTTGGAGGCTGAATAGCATACTATTTTTTAAAAATATATATATTTTTTATTGATTTTTTACAGAGAGAAAGGGAGAGGGAAAGAGAATTAGAAACATCGATGAGAGAGAAGCATCCATAAGCTGCCTCCTGTACACCCCCTACTGGGGATGTGCCTGCAACCAAGGTACATGCCCTTGGCTGGAATCAAACCCGGGACCCTTCAGTCCACAGGCTGACGCTCTATCCACTGAGCCAAATCAGTCAGGGCTGAATAGCATACTATTAAATAATGAATGGGTTACCAAAGAGATCAAAGAAGAAATAAAAAACATCCTGGAAACAAATGACAATGAAAACACAACAATCCAAAATCTTTGGAACACAGTGAAAGCAATCCTGAGAGGGAAGTTCATAGCATTATAGGCCTACCTCAAAAAAATAAGAAAAACTGGTAATAAACCATCTAACTCTGCAATTTGAAGAATTAGAAAGAGAGCAACAAAAAAAGCCCAATGTAAGCAGAAACAAAGAAATAATAAAGATCAGAGTGGAAATAAATTACATAGAGACCAAAGTAAAACAATACAAAAGATCAGAGCTGGTTCTTTGAAAGGATATTTAAGATTGATGAACCTCTAGCCAGGCTCACCAAGAAGCAAAGAGAGTGGACTCAAATAAACAAAATCAGAAACAAAAGAGGTGAAATAACAACAGACCACACAGAATTACAAAGAATCCTAAAAAAAAAAAATTAAAAAAAAATACTATGAGCAACTCTACTCCAACAACCTAGAAGAAATGGACATATTCCTAGAAAAATACAACCTTCCAAAACTCAACCAGGAGAAATCAAAAAATCTGAATAGGTTGATAACTATTGAGGAAATTGAGGCAGTAATCAAAAAACTTCCAACAAACAAAAGCCCTGAATCAGATGTATTCACAGGGGAGTTTTATCAAACATTCAAAGAAGAAATAAAACCTATATTCCTCAGACTATTCCAAAAGAGGAAGGAGCACTTCCAAGCTCTTTCTATGAAGCCAGCATTACCCTAATCCCAAAAGCAGATAAACACAA